ATCTTTATAACATTGCACAGTACACAAACCTACCCTTTGCTCCACAGGGAGGCTGTATCTCTGTCTTTCAAGGCTGTTCACTAAGCCAACAATCTTGAGATGACGGGAACAAAGGCAGTTAGTACCTTGGCTTGCAAGACGTGCAGAAATGGGAGAGCCACATGGAGAACCCTTTACTCACGAGGCTTTCTGCCTGGAGGCTCTTTACAGACCAAGAACTGGGAGGGGGCAACCCAAACAGAGCCTGGAGGTCTCATTTAATTGGAATGTCAGAGATTACAGGTCAGGGAGGCTGAGGCAACTGGAATCTGTGGGACAATACTGGAGAGGAGGAAGCTATGTAGAGAAAGAGCTCCAGCAATTTGCATGGGGCTCTCTTGAGTTCTGGCTGAATACTAAGCTGTGCATGTGTCGGGTAAGACTCTACTAGGCCAGGCGAAGAATGACTACTGGAAAATAACTACCAGGAAGCTGTAAGATGAACAATTTCCAGAGCTCACTTTGGGTTGGGAGATGTTTGAGTTCCAACTAGCCAGACTGGAGAGCAGAGGGACATTGTTGAATATCTGGGGTATTCAGTAGATACCTTAGTGGTTGGGTAACACTGGCCCTAGGGTAAAGGTACTCTAGACTGGTGTTTTTCAACCTTGGCACTATTGATACTTTTGGGGAAGGATAACTCTGTTTTGGAAGGCTTTCCTGTGCATTGTAGGGTATTGAGCAGCATTCCTGGCCTCTAACCACTAGATGCCAGTAGGACCCTTCTCGTTGTGGCAACCAAAAATGTTTCCAAACATTGCCAATATCCTTGGGGTGGGTGAGGGGGAAGATTGTACCTGATTTAGAACCATGGATCTAGACCCACCCTAACAAAGCACAGAAACAAGCCTTGAATGCATTTAGATTATCTCTAACTCAACTATCTGACCCACCCCATCTCAACAGTCTTCAAAGGAAGACAACAAAATTCAGACCCTCAACAATGTAACATTCACAATGTCTAGCAGCATCCAATCAAAAATTACTAGGCATGCTTGAAGAAGGAAAACATGATCCATAACCAGGAGAAAATCAGTTATAAGAACCGGATCCATAAATGTCAGAGATTATTGAATTAGCATATAAGGACTTTGGAAGAGCTATTATAAATATGTTCAGGGATTTAAAGGAAAATGTGAACATAATGAGAAGAGAAATATAAAATCTAAAAAAGAACCAAGGTATTAAATTTATCTAGAACTTAAAAATATAATATATCCAGAGAGAAAAATTCACTGAATGGGCGCAACAGCATGTTGATTAGACACTGCAGAAGAAAGCAGCTACGGATGTGCAAACGTAGCAACTATTCACACGGAAGCCCACAGAAACTCAGTGACCTGTGTGATAATATCAGCAGTCTAACAAACATATAATTAAAGTTCCAGGAAGAGAGAGAAAAGACTAAATGTGGCAGAAACATATTGGAAAAAATAATGTCTGAAAAATTTCCAAATTTGGTGGAAGATATAACTCAAATACCTGAGAATGTCAGCAAACCCCAAGCCGGATAAACACAAAGAAAACTACCCCAAGACACATCATATCAAACTGCTACAATCTAAGAATGAAGAGAAAAGTCGTGAAAGCTGCCAGAAAAAAAGACACAGTACATACAGAAAACAAAGAATGAACACTGACCTCATCAGAAACAATGAAAGCCAGAAGATAGGAAAATGACATCTTTAAAGTTCTATAAGAAAAAAGGATTGACATAGAATGCTACATGCAGCAAAGAATATCCTTCAAAATGAAAGTGAAATAAAGATATTTAAAAAAAAACAAAAGCTGAGAGAACTCAACACTGGCAAAATGTACTACATGAAATGTTAAAGAAAATCCTTCCAATTGAAGGCAGATGAGGCCAGATGGAAACTTTGATTAACACAAAGGGACGGAATTACCAAAGTTGACAAAAGAAGAAATAAAAATCCGAATAGCTCTATCTCTGTTAAAGAAATTGCATTTATAATTTAAAACTGTTCCAGAAAGAAAACCCCAAAACACCAGGCTTCTCTGGTGAACATTTAAAGAAAAAAATAATACCGATGTGTCACAAACTTTTTCAGAAAATAGAGGAAACAGTTCCTAACTCATTTGGTAAGATGAGAGGAGGAGATGGTGAATATTTGAGGCTGCTGCTGCTGGTCCTCCCGCTCCTCCCCCTCCTTCTCTCCCTCCTCCTCATTCTTCACAATCCTTTACAATTGTAAAAGCCCTCTTAGCTGGCAGGCCAGGCTAAAAGTGACCTGAGGGACAGGTTTGTCCTCTGGGCCATAGTTCGCCACCCCTGAGCTAAAACAGTAGTAAGCTACGCAATTTTACTAAGCAATTTTGTGAGGCCGCAGAGAAGAGGAATATATCTCACACCGAAAAGCAACAACCTATTAAATACTCCCATCAGACATTTAATTTCCAAATATTTGGGAATTTTCCAGGTATCTTTTTGTTAGTTAGTTCTAGTTTAACTCCATTTTGGTCAGAGAACATCCTTAGTATAATTTCGAGTCTTTTAAAATCATTGGGATTTGTTTTATGTCCCCCCCAAATGGTCTGTGTTGGTGAATGCTTCAGGCACACTTGAAAAGAATGTGAGTTCTGCCACTGTGGGGTGGAGTGTTTATAAATTCAGTGAGGTCAGGCTCATTGATAGCGATGTTTAGTTCTTTTATACCCTTACTGATTTTCTGTCTACCTATTTTATAGCTTAATTATAGCCTCCAACTGTAATTGTGGATTTATCTATTTCTGCCTTCAGTTCTATTATTTTTTGCCTCGTGTATTTGGAAGCTCTCGTGTATTTGTTAGGTGCTTAAAGATTTAAGATTATTATGTCTTCTTGGTGAATTGACCTCTTTATCATTAAGGAACATCCTTCTTTATCCTTGGTGATATTTATTGTATTGAAGCCTACTTTGCCAGGGATTAACGCAGCTGCTAGACTTTTTTTTATCAGGGTTTGCATGGTATGTCTTTTGCTGTCTTTTTTCTTTTAACCTGTGTATATCTTTATATTTAAAGTGGATTTCTTGTAGACAGCATGTAGTTAGATGGTGCTATTTTATCCAAAATGACAATCTCTGTCTTTTAATCTGATTGCTTAGACCATTCACATGGATCAAAATCTAACATCTTCCTAGTTATTTTCTATTTGTGTTATCCGTTCTTTGTTCAATTTTTCTTCTTTTCCTGCCTGCTTTTGGATCGAGAATTTGTTATCATTTGTTTTTGTCTCCACTATTGTATTATCATTTGTTTTTGTCTCCGCTATTGTATTATTATTTATTGTTGTTAGTTCTGTGGAGTTGATTCCACCTCCTAGCAACCCTGCGTACAGCAGAGTGGAATCCCGCCTGGTCTTTTTGCGCCGTTCTCTCATCTTCCGGCACTGAGTCAGACAATGCTCTGCTGCTATATATGGGCTTTTCGTGGCCAACTTTTTCAGAAGTGGGTGGCCAGGTCCTTTTTCCTAGTCTGTCTAGTTTGAAAGCTCTGGTGAAACCTGTCCACCATGGGTGACCCTGCTGATATTTGAAATACCAGTGGTGTAGCTTTCAGCATCACAGCAACACACAGCCACCACAGTATGACGACGACAGATGAGTGGTGTGGTTTCTTGACCGAGGCACGAACTCGGGCTGAGGCAGCGGGAGTACCCAATCTTAACCACCAGACCACCAGGGCTGGCTATTATTATTTATACCTTAAAAATTTTCATGTTGCCCTAGAAATTTAAAATGTACATATTTAACTAATCATAGCCTATCTTTAAATAATATTATATTGCTTCTTCTATAGCGTAAGAACCTTACAACAGTATAATCCCAATTCTTTCCTTCTAACTTTCAGGCTATTGTCATCCATTTTACTTTTATGCTATAACCCACAATACTTTGCTACTATTTTTGGTTTAGACAATCAATTATCTTGAAGATGATTAAAAATAAGAAAAAGATATTTTGTATTTATGTTGATTTTAACTTTTTCCAGAGATCTTAATTTTTTGTGTGTAGATGCCGATTTCTGTTTTGTATCCTATTCCTTCTCTCTGGAGAACTTGCTGTAATATTTCTTATAAGAGAGACCTACTGATGTTTTATTCTCCTATTTTTTGTTTGTTGGAAAATTTTTAAATTTCTCCTTCATTTTTGAAAAAATATTTCACTCTATGTAGCATTCTGGAATGAAAGTTTTTTTCCCTTTCAACAGTTAAAATATGTCACTCCTTTCTCTTCTGGTTTGCGTGGTCTCTGATGAGGAATTCTGCTGTATTGCTTATTTTTGTTCCTCTATTTATAAAGCTGCCTTCAAGATTTTCTCTTTATCATTAGTTTTTGGCAATTTGAATGCAATGTGTCCTGGCGTATTTTTGTTTTTTTATCTTGCTTGGAGCTCTCTGAGATTCTTGGATCTGTGATTTGATAGCTTTTATTGTTTTAGAAAGTTCTCTGCCATTACCTTCTCAAATATTTCTTATTTCTTGTTCTTTCTCTCTTCTTTTTGGATTCCAATGACACGCATATTAAACCATTTGATATTGTCCTACGGCTCTCTGATGCTGTATTCTTTTAAAACTTTTCAGCCTTTTTTCTTTTTGTATTTCAGTTTGGGTAATTTCTATTCCCTATCTTCGAGTTCAATGATTTTTTTTCTTGGCCATGACAAATCTACTGAAGAGCCCATCGAACACATTCTTCATCTTTCTTACTGTGATTTTATATCTAGTGTTTCCATTTAACAATTTCTTTTTTTTTTTTAAAGATTGGCACCTAGGCTAACAACTGTTGCCAATCTTCCTCTTTTTTTTTTTTTTTAAGGATTGGCACCTGGGCTAACAACTGTTGCGAATCTTTTTTTTTTTTTTCTGCTTTCTTTCCCAAACCCCCCTGATACATAGTTGTATATCTTAGTTGCAGGTCCTTGTAGTTGTGGGATGTGGGATGCCGCCTCAATGTCGCCTGACGAGCGGTGCCATGTCTGTGCCCAGGATCCGAACCCTGGGCCGCCGCAGCGGAGCACGCGAACTTAACCACTTGGCCACGGAGCCGGCCCCCCATTTAACGATTGCTTATACTTTCCATCTGTCTGCTGGGATTTTCTATCTGGCCATGCATGCTGTCCACCTTTTCCACTAGAGCACTTAACATCTTACTCATATTTATTTTAAATTCCCTGTCTGATGATTCCAATATCTGGGTTATCTCTGAGTCTGGTTCTGTACATTGCTTCATCTCTTTAGAGTGAGTTAGTTATTTCTTCTTTTTTGGTGGGGAGGTTATGTCTCGTAATTTTTTATTGGATGCCAGGCATCATATGTAGACCAGTAGAGACTGAGGTAAATCATTTTTATGCCTTTTAACGGGCATGTCTCTTCTGCTGCTTCAATTTCCTTCAGTGCCACCTTGTGCTTAGGGTGGGTACTGCGGTGTTGCAAACTTTCTCAAAGTTCCTACTCCACCCTCAGCTTTCAGGCTTCCCCATTGGTCTGTGCCTCAGAAGGGATCTCTCTCCATGCTTGTCCTCCATCAGTGGTGAACTTCTGTCACTTCTTACCCCCTGTTGTCCTGGTCTAGCCTGTCTCAGGCAGGCCCTGTGTCTCTGTGATCCTGTCCCTCCCTGAGCTGACAAAGACCCCTAATATCTGGGTCCAGGGTGGTTTCCTGCCCCCATTGCAGGGTAGATGCTTGTTTTCCTTTTCTTTGCTCCAGCAGCATGAGTCTTTACCTGTGTCCTAGAAATGACAGTTTCCTGCTCTTTCCCAGTGGCTTATGGCTTTTTTTCCTATAGTGATCGAGGGCTTGGGTGGAATTTGTGCCTTTCCTGCAGCACCTGTGCTCTCCTCTTTGGGGCCTACACCCCTAAGGGACAGATTTCTCACATCTCCTGCTCTACCCCAAATCTACCCCAATCCTGGTCATAAGTGATGGACGTTCATGGGGAGGGGCCTGTGAATGGGCCACCCTGCTCTTGTTTGTGCATCTTCCAGAGGTCCTCTACTCTCCCATGCTCCCACACTCAGCCTTAGTAATTTGCTAACAATTTTGTTTAAGTTCTTACCGGTTGGTGTGGTGCTTGACGTCTTGCTCTCCTCTGCTCTGCTGCAGGTGCCCTGTGCTTGTGCCCGTCTCTCTCGGGAGACTCCTGTCTTTCCTTAGACTGTAGGCTCCTCAGTTGCACCGCAACCTCAGCTGTCTATTGGGTTCAAGAAAAGTCAGGAATTTTGTAGAGGATCCTTTTTCCTGTTCTTATTAAGGTTGGAGCAACATTCTTTCCAGCTTGCTGCATCCTAGGTGGAAGAACCGATCTCCATTAGATTTTCATATTCTCCTTCAAAATCTCTTTACTGGCCAGACCTTAGGCCTGTCCCCTCATCTCCTGCACTCCCACCCGTGGCTTCTCCTTGCAGTGTCAGCCTCCCCTCCACTGTCTTGGGCAATTGTGCACATCCCACCAGTTAAACAAAAGCCTGCCTCCTTAGAGCATAGTTTGACCCCCATCCTTTGTCACTTGAGCATCTGTTGTTGCCCTTAGTGAGTGACTCTGACCACCCCCTGCCCACACCTCCACCTAAGCAGCTTCTAGAGTGTTCTTTCCGACCGTATCTAGTACTCTCCCTGAGAGGAGTTCTGAGAAATGCAGTTTTCTCCATTCTGTTACACACACATGTGATAATGCCCATGCCAGAGGCCTGAGGTGGACCTGGCGATGGGATCTGAAGCTTCATTGCCCATGGTGCTCTAGCCGGTATGGTTTGATGGGGCTCTTACCTTCTGTTTTAGTCCTTCAGGTGCCTTCTCTGTACAGGATCCTAGCTTTGTTACCTTAGGACACACACAGGACACTAATGTTAATGTTTTGAGTTGTTTTTATTAGAAAAAGGGCTGTAAGTATGTGTATGTTTCAACCTGGCAGAATTATTTTATCAATCCACTCATTTTCCTTTTACCGAGAGTTATCTTATTTTATTTATTTGTATTAATAACTTACTTCATTTAAGATCCTTTCCACATATCTAGCCTATCTGTTTACAGTGTGTCCCCTGGGGAGGCTGACTCTATACACCTGTGGTGAGAATTGTGGGACACATGGATGGAATATAATGGGCCTCCTGGGAGGAAGGATGTAGATAATTTGGGACCAATGGTCAGGACCAAATTGAATGAAGAAGGTCGGGGACAAGGCTGTGGGCAGTCTCTCTTGGTAGTGACTGCTCCTAGGCGGCTGAGGACTTATTCTGAGGTTGGGAAGGATTGAGGGGCAGGGTACCGATTCAGGGCTGCTCCACAAGGATGCTGTGAGGTGGCCTTCGTGGGTAGTATTCTATGTCCTTCAACTTTGCCCTGGGGAACATTTAAAAAGTATTGAAGAGGAGAGAGTGGGCGGAGCAAAATGGCGGGGTGAGCTGACCGGGATTCTCTCCCCTCCAAAATACAACAAAAGATTGGAAGAACTGAATTTCAGAGAATAAACATAATGCCAGCTCATTAGAGACCTACAATACCAAGAAGGCGGAGATCACAAACCTTGCAGACGGCCTCGGAGGCGCTGGAACGGTAGGAGAGAACATCGCTCCCTCCCCTAGAGTCTGCGATCGCTGCGGCGCAGGTCGGGAAGGAGCGGGGGAGGGGCCGCGCGACCGGGGGATCATCCAGGACTCCTGCCGCTGATTCAGTGGAGACCTGCTGATGGGGGGAAAGCTTCCGTCCGCGGGGACCCTATAAATCAAGGGCCTTGGGAGACCAGAGAACAGAACTGATCTGAACCCAGACCGGCGCGTGTAACAGCCCCTCCCCCTCAACAAAGCCAGTGGGCGCAGCCATCTTGCCCCAAGGCGGAGAGCTAACATGCCGCTCTCGACCCCCATCTAGTGGCGACAGCCTGTAACTGCAACTGAATTCTACCACCATGAGAAAAAACTGCTCCTCTACCATCCCGCAATTTATAAAAGCCCCAGACCAGAAGGAAAACAATAAAAACACAGAATTAAGCCCTGAGGACTTGGAATTAGGTAAACTAAGTGATAATGAATTCAGAGCAGCTATAATCAAAAAACTCAATGAGGTAGAGAGAAAGATAGAGAAACAAGCCGAGTTCTGGAGTTACTTCACAAAAGAGATTGAAATCATAAAGAAGAATCAAACAGAATTACTTGAGATGAAAAACACAATGGACCAGATAAAACAGAATACGGATTCCCTGAATGCCCGTGTAGACAACATAGAGGAGCAAATCAGCATAATCGAGGACAGACAGGCTGAATGGCGCCAGACAGAGGAAGAAAGAGAACTAAGAATTAAAAAAAATGAGGAAAATCTCCAAGAGATAATGGATTCAATGAGGAGTAAGAACATAAGGATCATAGGAATTCCCGAGAATATGGAAAAGGAAAATGGAGCAGAAAGTGTGCTTAACGAAATTATTGAAGAGAACTTCCCAAATCTAGGGATCAACGGAGAAATGTGTGTAGAGGAGGGTTTTAGATCTCCTAGATTTGTCAGTGTAAAAAGACCCACCGCAAGGCACATAATAGTAAAGTTGGCAAATAGGAATAATAAGGAAAGAATACTCAGGGAAGTAAGAAAAAAAAGAGAATAACCTATAAAGGAGCCCCTATCAGACTGTCAGCGGATTTCTCTACAGAAACCCTACAAGCTAGGAGAGAATGGAGTGATATATTCAAAGCTTTAAAGGATAAAAACCTTCAGCCAAGAATACTCTATCCAGCAAGAATTTCCTTCAGATATGAGGGAGAAATTAAATCTTTTCCAGACAAACAAAAGTTAAGGGAATTTGTAACTAAAAGCCCTCCATTACAAGAAATCCTCAAGAAGGCTCTCATACTTGAAAAAAGAAAAAAGGGAGAAAGGGGACACAAGCCACAGACTAGGGAGACCGATGGATAGAACCAGAACAGGATAGCAAATATTCAACTATAGCATTAGGGTAAAAATAAGGAAACTACCAAAACAAGGACGATCTTAGCACTCTAACTACAAATTAATAAGACGAGTTGGAATAAAAAATGAAAATAATTATTTAGGAGGGGAAGAGCAAAGGGTCTAAATCAGTATTGGTCAAGTAAGTAAGATTCCACCAGAGAATAGACTATATTATACACGAGATTCTAAATACAAACTTCAAGGTAGACACTAAAATAAAGTACAGAACAGAGTCACAAATCAGAGATAAGGAAAAATCTAAGAAACCCAGCATAGGAAATTGCAGTATTAAATGGGTAGTCTAAAGCACACAGGAAAAGAAACACAGGAAAACAAGATAATGAGCGACAGATTGACAACATTAAGTCCACATGCATCAATAATCACTCTCAATGTGAACGGATTGAACTCTCCAATAAAAAGACACAGAGTGGCAAAATGGATTAAAGAACAAGATCCAACAATTTGTTGCCTCCAGGAAACACACCTCAGCCCCAAGGACAAACACAGACTCAGGGTGAAGGGGTGGAGGACAATACTTCAAGCTAATAGCAAGGAAAAAAAGGCAGGTGTTGCAATTCTCATATCAGACCAAGTGGATTTCAAAATAAGACAGGTAAAGAGAGACACAGAGGGACAATATATAATGATCAAAGGGACACTTCATCAAGAAGAAATAACACTTATAAATATCTATGCACCCAACACAGGAGCACCAAGATTCATAAAGCAACTATTAAAAGACCTAAAGGAAGATGTTAAAAACAACACAATAATAGTAGGGGACCTCAACACCCCACTCACATCAATGGACAGATCATCCAGACAGAAAATCAACAAGGAAATAGTGGAGCTGAATGAAAAACTAAAACAATTGGACTTAATAGACATATATAGATCACTCCACGCTGAAGGAGCTGAATACACATTCTTCTCAAGTGCACATGGAACATTCTCTAGGATAGACCATATGTTGGGAAACAAGGCAAGCCTCTACAAATTTAAAAAAATTGAAATAATAACAAGCATCTTCTCAGATCATAGTGCTATAAGGCTAGAAATTAATTACAAGAAAAAAGCTGAGAAAGGCACAAAGATGTGGAGACTAAACAACACACTACTGAACAAGCAATGGATCATTGAAGAAATTAAAGAAGAAATAAAAAAATACCTGGAAACAAATGATAATGATAGCATGCCATACCAACTCATATGGGATACAGCAAAAGCTGTATTAAGAGGAAAATTCATCGCAATACAGGCACATCTTAACAAACAAGAAAAATCCCAAATAAGCAACCTTAAAGCACACCTAACTGAACTAGAGAAAAAAGAACAAATGAAGCCCAAAGTCAGCAGAAGGAGAGAAATAATAAAAATCAGAGCAGAAATAAATACTATTGAAACGAAAAAGGCAGTAGAAAGGATCAATGAGACAAAGAGCTGGTTTTTTGAGAAGATAAATAAAATTGACAAACCACTAGCCAGACTTACAAAGAAAAAAGGGGAGAAAGCTCAAATAAATAAAATCAGAAATGAGCGAGGAGAAATAACAACAGACTCTGCAGAAATACAACAGATTATAAGAGAATACTACAAAAAACTATATGCCAACAGAATGGATAACCTAGAGGAAATGGATAAATTCTTGGACTCCTACAATCTCCCAAAGCTCACTCAAGAAGAGGCAGACAATTTGAACAGACCAATCACAAGGAAAGAGATTGAAACAGCAATCAAAAACATCCCAAAGAATAAAACCCCAGGATCAGATGGCTTTCCTGGGGAATTCTACCAAACTTTCAGAGAGGATTTAATACCTATCCTTTTCAAGCTATTCCAAAAAATTAGGGAAGTTGGAACACTTCCTAACACATTCTATGAGGCCAACATCATGCTGATACCACAACCTGACAAGGACACCACGAAAAAAGAGAACTACAGGCCAATATCACTGATGAACATAGATGCAAAAATTCTAAACAAAATTTTGGCAACCAGAATTCAGCAATTCATCAAAAGAATCATACATCAGGATCAGGTGGGATTCATACCAGGGACACAGGGACGGTTCAACATCTGCAAATCAATCAACGTGATACACCACATCAACAAACTGAGGAATAAAAACCACATGATCATCTCAATAGATGCAGAGAAGGCATTTGACAAGATCCAACAGCCATTTATGATAAAAACTCTGAACAAAATGGTCATAGAAGGAAACTACTTCAACATAATAAAGGCCATATACGACAAACCCATAGCCAACATCATACTCAATGGGCAAAAACTGAACCCCATCCCCCTGAAAACAAGAACGAGACAAGGATGCCCTCTATCACCACTCTTATTTAACATAGTACTGGAGGTCCTGGCCAGAGCAATCAGGCAAGAAAAAGGAATAAAAGGAATCCAAATAGGGAGGGAAGAAGTGAAACTCTCGCTGTTTGCAGACGACATGATCTTATATATAGAAAACCCCAAAGAATCCATTGGAAAACTGTTAGAAGTAATCAACAACTACAGCAAAGTTGCAGGGTATAAAATCAATTTGCATAAATCAGTAGCATTTCTATACTCCAGTAATGAACCAACAGAAAAAGAATTCAAGAATACAATACCATTCACAATCGCAACAAAAAGAATAAAATACCTTGGGGTAAATTTAACTAAGGAAGTGAAGGACCTATATAATGAAAATTACAAGGCCTTTCTGAGAGAATTGGATGACGACATAAGGAGATGGAAAGACATTCCATGTACATGGATTGGAAGAATAAACATAGTTAAAATGTCCATTCTACCTAAAGCAATCTACAGATTCAAGGCCAACCTAATCAGAATCCCAATGACATTCTTTACAGAATTAGAACAAAGAATCCTAAAATTCATATGGGGCAACAAAAGACCCCGAATTGCTAAAGCAATCCTGAGAAAAAAGAACAAAATGGGAGGCATCACAATCCCTGACTTCAAAACATACTACAAAGCTACAGTAATCAAAACAGCATGGTACTGGTACAAAAACAGGTGCACAGATCAATGGAACAGAATTGAAAGCCCAGAAATAAAACCACACATCTATGGACAGCTTATCTTTGACAAAGGAGCTGAGGGCATACAATGGAGAAAAGAAAGTCTTTTCAACAAATGGTGCTGGGAAAACTGGAAAGCCACATGTAAAAGAATGAAAATTGACCTTTCTTTTTCACCATTCACCAAAATAAACTCAAAATGGATTAAAGACCTAAAGGTGAGACCTGAAATCATAAGGCTTCTGGAAGAAAACGTAGGCAGTACACTCTTTGACATCAGTATTAAAGGGATCTTTTCGGACACCATGCCTTCTCAGAGAAGGGAAACAATAGAAAGAATAAACAAATGGGACCTCAGCAGATTAAAGAGCTTCTTCAAGGCAAATGAAAACAGGATTGAAACAAAAAAACAACCCACTAACTGGGAAAAAATATTTGCAAGTCATATATCTGACAAAGGCTTAATATCCTTAATATATAAAGAACTCTTGCAACTCAACCACAAAACATCAAACAACCCAATCAAAAAATGGGCTGGAGACATGAACAGACATTTCTCCAAAGAAGATATACTGATGGCCAATAGGCACGTGAAAAGATGCTCATC